GAGGGAAGATGAAGTCCCTTCAAGGAGGAAACTGCCAAATCGTGAAGGTAATGAGATATGAACGTGTCAGGAGAAGTCCACATACTGGCCCTCAAAATATCTTCCGAGAAGAAGGACGGAAACGATTAAGAGAACCAACGAAATGAAAAGTGGAAGGACGGGGCCTTGAGATATAAGGGGTTGAACACGCAGAAGTACAAGTGGAAGTAGAATACAGGCGAGCAGCCAAAGACAATAAAGAAAACTGCAAATGTGCTGTATCAACTCTGGCTTCTAAAGATTCTGGAATTCCAGCAAATAAATAAATAAATAAATAAGGCCAAAGAAAAGATGCTTCCCATAAATCTCGAAAAGGCAAAAAAAGTGAATACCCTCCAAAAATGCATCATGACTCAACAAGTCCCAGCAACAGACTAACCACGACACCAAGGTAAGTCCTGAAGAGGACAAACATATCATAATAGTGACCAGTAAATGGCCCAGTTCTTCATCAAATTGTTGAGGCAATCGGTGATATGCTTCAGACAAAAGTTGAAGGGATAAAAAGTATCTTAAAACAATAATAAGAGTCAAACGAGTCTACGAAAACTGCGACCTGTTAAGAGAGATAAAAGGTTCATACCTGGCACCCCATAGATCCAACCTTTGAGTGTCCAAATATATATCATTCTGACGATGATACGCCACGGCATGTTGTTCAGATAAATGGGGGGGAGGCACAGCGACACCCTCACATGATGGTGTTGCAAACCTCCCTGCATGCACAGCAATATCAGGAGAAAAAGTAATCTCCTTGAAAAACAATCAGAAAACAAAGCAGGAATAGACTGATAAGGAACTGGTTACATCTCCAAAACTTCACAAACACGTATAACTAACTGCAGAAAAGGGGGAAGAAGGTGGCTGATCAGATGAGTCCTCAAGAGAGGAAGCTCTAGTGAAAGAAGGTGCAGGAAATAGGGAGTCTAAATTCTCCCCCCAGAATATCCTGTTTCAGAATGGAAATCCAAATCAACACCTCCGGAAGAGATACCCCCTGGGCCACATGAAGGACTCGATCTCCCCCTAATCAGGTCACGGACACCTTCCACAGAGAGTGCCCCCCCCCCTAACTGCTAACCATCACTATATAACAAAGGGGGAACAGACGAAATGCTTGAAACCATTACACAGGGATTTATATCCATTTTTTTTTCTTTTTGGTAATATATTTGTAGGAAAAAAAAAAAAAATTCAACAAAATATATCTCTGGATAACAAAACAAAGAATTCCCAATTATTAAAAAGAGAAACTAAGAAAACGTAAATCACAAAACGTTAGTCTCTCGTTCTTTGTTGAGAGAAAGTGATTTTATTGTCTGCATACAGTGCTTATATATACAGTACCTGCATAGATGACATGTGATGGCCAGCACAAAGTTTTGAAAATTAGGTTTTTGCCAAGATGGCAAAAATGAAAATCAAGATATAGCTATTAGTGTCAGCGGAGGTAAGTATGGCAGCAAATAGAAACGAGAGGTTCTTATTTTATATTCTAGCTTTTCAATATTGGTAGTATGAGTTCCTAATTCATACAAAACTATAGACTTTGTATTTTGACATCACAAACATCTAATTTGAACCAGTGCTGCTTTCAACGTATCATGTGACACACAAAAATCAATGTTTAACTGTGTTTATTAATGTTTACTTTTAAATTAAGAAATTAACTAACATATTATACTAAAATTTGAATTACAATTTACAGTTTGATACCAAACTTTTGACATAAATTCATAAAGTAGTAGTTCAATAAAATTTTGAATGCGAGTCAACAAACGAGATGACATGACCTTTGACATGGGGTTAAACAGAGCTTATAACTTGTATTCTACATACTTTAATTTACACTCAGAAATTTTGCTTATACAGGATACTTTAAAACGTAATGGTTAGTCATAACATCTATTACAAAAAAATACTAATACTTTTCTAACAAAAAACTCACAAATTCACCCAGACTTACTATATATACTCTTGTCTTCCATAGAAACTAAACTTAACTTTAAAAAAAAAGTCAAATTAAACACGTTATTTATTGTTACTACCCCCCAAGTTGATTTCAGATTAGATTTTAAACCCACATCCCACATACAAAATTTTTCCATACTAAAGACCTCCCAATTTCTCTTTGTTCTTGGCTTGTATATATTTACACGGGTGGAGAGTGTAAGGCCTCTTACATTGGCAAAACCTAATGCCATCTACTTGAGCCAATGAATATACGAGAATTTCCATGAAAACACAAAAAAAGTTGTGTAACCCGTGTTTCCTCTATCCACCAACATAGTGAAGAAACAGGACATAAACTTAACCTATCAAATTTCAATATCCGTTGCAAAGCCAACATTGATCTGGAATTACAGATTAAAGAAACCCTCAACATCAACATAGTGAAGAAACAGGACATAAACTTAACCTATCAAATTTCAATATCCGTTGCAAAGCCAACATTGATCTGGAATTACAGATTAAAGAAACCCTCAACATCAAACAACTTTCACCAACACTGAACAACATGCAGTCTTCATTTGAATTGCACATTTTCTAATGTGTCCATTATTTTCTCTGTAACTCATTTAATTTTTATGTTGTTGTAGTTTTGATCACATTACTGTTATCATAGCTACATATTTCAGTCACTTACTTAGAAATGAAGTAATTATTTTATTTTGCTTTAGATACTGAAGATGGAATTTGGTGAATTCTGAAACGTTTATCTGTGTCCTCTTGTGTTATAAATAAACAATGCTGTTTATCTTAAGTATTGTTATCCTTTTTATTGTGAAACTTTGTTTTCCTCTGAAAACATCGAATGCTAATATCCTAGATACAAATAATTTTAAAGGAAATTGATGGTGCTGAACTGTGACATATTCAAGATAATCAATTATATGAAGTTTTGAGTGAAAGCAAATAGTGTATATTAATATATTAACTCTCTCGCTACGTGTAAGTCAAAGTACACATGTCACGATGTTTTACAGAGCTACATTTAAAATTTAATTAAGCTGCTTTATTATCATTACATACAAATAAACCTGGCATCAAAACATCGTTAATGAATCAAATTTTAATATTATACAAGTTTTAAGTTCTTTATAATTTAATAAAGAAATATTTTAAAAAATCCTCAATCTCTCCTAGTATGAGAATTGTGACATTTGTTCTTTAGGTTTGCCCTCTTCTCTAATTTATTACCACACCCCTCTCAGAATTTAATGTACATTACTAATTATAATGTATATATATTTCTAAGGCAAAGTCTAATTTTTATAGCCAAAAGTATTATTTCTTTATGGAGCCATAAACTAGAAAATCAGACCCACTTGCCACACCCACCTGTCACATCCTCTATTTCACAAATTGCCAATAGCTCTCTCTCTCTCTCTGACGTTATATAATATATTATTTATAATCGATAGAAAGTCAAAGTTTTAATCTATCAAATGACATAATTTATTGTTTTCTGTACAGTAAATTGTCTATTTCACCTCTAGGTTGAAAGTTTTTTCATGAGAATTGCATTGACAAACTTAGCTGAATTTTTACCAGACTCTTCTTGCCATGCCCACCTGTCACATCCTCTATTTCAGAAATTGCCAATAGTTCTCTCTAACATTCAATAGTATATTATTTATAACCAATAGAAAGCCAAAGCTTTTATCTATCAAATGATGTATTATATTACATTGTTTTCTGTAAAGAGAATTGTCAATTTCACTTTCGGTTCAAGCTTGATCCCATGGAAAACACATCGACGAGCTTAGATGAAGTTTTTACAGCTCTTGTCATATAGTTAAAAAGACAGAAAAATTGTGATAGTTAAGAGACATTGTGTGCTTTTTTGCACATTATTATTAAGTGTTCTTTGGTGTATTATTTAATTAACTCTCATTCTTAACATTGACAGTTATAAACAGGTTATTTTTTGTTTTATTTTCTCTCAAGACATGCTGGGTTGCAAAAGTTTGTAGTTACCACATTTATTGATAATGATGATGAAGCTATCTTGAATTTTATGTGCCTGATTGCACATTGATGGTTCATTTCATCAACCCTCTCACCATGTGGAGATTAAAGTACACATAGTATGACTTTTTAAAGAGTTACATTCAGTATGACTTTTTAAAGTCATTTCAAAATTTTCATTTTCAAAATTTAATTAAATTACTTTATTATCAATGTATAGGAGTACATTTGGCATCAACAAGTAGTTAATAACTCAAATTTTAATATTATATAAGTTCTGAATTTTACAAGGAAATATTTAGAATAATCCTTGATCTTCCCTAATATGAGAATTGTAACATTTGCACTCTAGGTCTTCCCTCTTCTTTAATTTATTACCACCCCTCTCACACCCATCTGTCACATCCTCTCTTTCACAAATTGCCAATAGTTCTCTCTGACGTTATATATTATTTATAACCAATAGAAAGCCAAAGTTTTAAGCTATCAAATGATATATTTTGTTGTTTTCTTTACAGTGAATTGTCTATTTCACCTCTAGTTTGAACGTTTTTTTCATGGGAATTGCATGAAAATGGTGCATTGTTTAATTAAATAAAAAATGATTTAGTGTAGTGGTACCATTAGTATAAAAAAATAGTCTTACGTTTCATTGACAGCAAAAAACAAGACGACCCAGGTAAGTACTATATTTCTTGTTTTTTATGTGTATTCATTATTTATTTTTATAAATGTAACTAAAACCTAAATATTAAATCTGTTAGGTTAGGTACGATTACATAAGGTAATGAAAATGGAAAATAATTCTTCACTAGGTATGCTCATGAGCAGCTTGTGCATTAAATAATTCAATACAGTAACACAAGCTAAGTGATTTACAACTTGTGTGGTGGTTTGTTAGTCACAGTTAAAAGGGCAATAAAACAATAAGATTAATTTGACATATTAGTGTTCAACTGAAATAAACGAAATCAAAAACTTTGACTTACAGACTGAGAATTTTCTTCTGTACATGAAAGTGTGGTGATGAAGACAGCCTGAGAGGCAGATACAGTGTGTTCTTCACTTGGGATACTAACAAGTGTGGCTGTAAGAGATTACAGCTGATGAAAACTAACACTCATAGTAAACATGACATTATGAATATTTGTAAACAGTAAACAAATGCAATTTATATTTAAACTCTCTTTCCCCCCAAAAAAAGGAAACTTCAATTATGAAGATGCGTATAATGCTATTATAAAGATGTGTATAATGCTATTATAAAGATGTGTATAATGCTATTATAAAGATGCGTATAATGCTATTATAAAGATGTGTATAATGCTATTATAAAGATGTGTATAATGCTATTATAAAGATGCGTATAATGCTATTATAAAGATGCATATAATACTATTATAAAAATGTGTATAATGCTATTATAAAGATGCGTATAATGCTATTATAAAGATGCGTATAATGCTATTATAAAGATGTGTATAATGCTATTATAAAGATGTGTATAATGCTATTATTAAGATGCGTATAATGCTATTACCAAAACATTATACATAAAGATGACATTACACTAAAACAATAGTGACAGCTATCCACAAAAACATGTCATGACATTTAATTTTAAGTACATAGTATTCAATGAAATATATACAATATGTTATGTATCCAAAAGCATTATTCTAGCACACAAAATAGCCATAAAAAGTTGGTTAGCAAAAACTCGCAGGTGTGTAATCAAACAAAAACTTCTCTATACATTATTCAAGTTAAAAATCACCTACCAATATCCAGCTTCTAGTACAACAGCTTTAAGAAATCCTACTAATAGTCAGTTCTCATCAACCAAATACACTGTCATTACTATTTAACACTCCAAAACAATACTAAATATTTATGAGATAACAGCTTGAATAAGAAGCTATCCTAACATGCTTTTTTTTCACTTTAGAGATGAATATTTGATGGTAACTTTAATCAATCTCACTAACTAACTACCAACTTTGTCAAGTGAATTACAAAAAGAAACAGGTGAAGTAAGAGAAAATGAACAAACAACCCTTACTAAATAAACGTTACAAACATTAGTTTCCTTTCCCAGTCATATAATTATATATGCATTGACATTTACAAAACATTATGGTGTATTTGAACCTAAAAATGGGTTCTTATATTTTAAGGTGTAAATAAATGTACTTTTAAAACCGTTTTAAACCATTTTTTTAAGTTTCTTCTAATAAACTGAATAACCATTTTTATGTTAAAATGATAAAAGCTCTATAACCCAAGCACTTTCAAAAGGTGGACCTTTCTTCTTTGAGGGCAAACATTTTTAGAGGTGGACTTTTGATTCAAGTTCTGAAGATCAAAAACTAGTCTTTATTGAAAAGTGAATTACACAGGCCTGCACATTTAAACTTCATAAAAGTCTTTTTGGTTTTAATAACAGATTTTCCATAATTCAGCTACACTGATTTTGAAAATAATATTCATTTTTTTCTATCATATAAGGATTTTTTAAAAATCAGGAGGAGAAAAAAAAACTCTTACTTATATCAAATTATTATTTCATTTGCCACACTGAAAATTTTGATTAATATGTTTGTTAACAAAAATACATACTCATTCATTCTGATTTTTTTTGTGACATCTACGTCTTTTAGTCTCAAAACTACATGTTGTGGTCTTTTATGTATTGAGTTATGACCTTTTGTGAAAAATCTGTACATGATGGAGAAAAATGGATATCATTTACAAATTCAGCATACAGAAATTACTGTAAAACTTAAAAATATCAAGACAACAAAACCAAAATAGGCCTGTATAATATATGTAATAGACTTACATCAAAGGGTGTGGAATAAAGATCTAGTCAAACATGTCACAATGTTCACCATATAACATCACATTATTGTCATTGCTACAAACTGGTTAAAATGTCAGAACATATGATTAGCTAAACTACCTGAAAACCATTGTATTAACCATATGACATCACATTCTTGTCATTGTTACAAGCTGGTTAGAATGTCAGAACATATGATGAGCTAAACTACTTGAAAACCATTGTATTAACTATATGACATCACATTCTTGTCATTGCTACAAACTGGTTAGAATGTCAGAACATATGACGAGCTAAACTACCTGAAAACCATCGTACTCACCATATAACATCACATTCTTGTCATTGTTATAAACTGGTTAGAATGTCAGAACATATGACGAGCTAAACTACCTGAAAACCATTGTATTAACTATATGACATCACATTCTTGTCATTGCTACAAACTGGTTAGAATGTCAGAACATATGATGAGCTAAACTATCTGAAAACCATCGTATTAACTATATGACATCACATTCTTGTCATTGTTACAAACTGGTTAGAATGTCAGAACATATCACGAGCTAAACTACCTGAAAACCATCGTGCTCACCATATAACATCACATTCTTGTAATTGTTACAAACTGATTAGCACGGCAAAACACATGATGAACTAATCTATCTCAAAACTCATCATGATTACCACACAGCCTCACATCCTTTTTTCAAATTGGCTAAAAGTTAAAAAAGTAATTCCTACAAACTTCAACACCATTTTAATGGGTTTTTTTAAAAACTCAGTGCATTTTAAGAATTTATTTTTTTTACTTCATTAATTCAGATCTAATTTTGGTAAAGTACCCTCAAACACAGAATTCAACAAGCACTACACTTATTTTTTCTTTAGTCAGGATTACTTTATTTTTGTAATACTACCCACCTATTGGTTTGGGAGCAATTGGAAGAATACACGTTTTCTGTTTTTTAACTGGGGAAGCTTCTGTTTCAGAAGGCATCTTTGTTGGTCTTTTGAGAGGTGATGGTCCATTTGCCACTTCTTTAGGAGGTGTTACTTTGTTCTAAACAAATTTTAATTTTGCATTTATGCTAAACATTACTCTTTAAAGCAAACGACATGTTAAAAACACTGAAAGAGAGTTACAATGTTATCAAGGAGTTACGCAGATTTATTTTAAATAACGATGAAAACAGTGCTGTTAATACAATAATCAAAGCATTTCATAGGGCACCAAGTCTGTATTTAATAAAATACAGGGCAGGTAATAAGAAAAAAGGTCAATTGGAATGGTTAACTCATTGTATTGACTCTAAAGTATACAAAGAAACCAACACAGCCTGTAAAAGTATGTGTAAACAAAAGAAACAAAATTAAAGACATTGACAATAATTTAGATAACCCTAACACATCCTGGTCAACAACAAAAAAGTATTGAAAACCAGCATAAGCACAAAATAATAGCATTATTTAAGTGGTTATTACAGGAGTTAATAAGAATAAAGACAGAATATTGGAGGTTAGAGAAAAGTAGAGTAGAAACAAATACAGGTAGTATGGAAACCTTGCTTGGAAGTAATAAGCTTTGAAATAGAAGTTCAAGTGTTATAAAACTTTTATCAAATAGAAAGCATCTTGTATTGATAGTATAACCTACAAAATGTTTAAATTACGTAATAACACTAGATTTGTGAAAAGATCTGTGTTTGATTTTGAACAGAGGCAAATTTCTTGAACAATACAATGAAGCAATATGTATCGGCTATTCAAAAAAGGTGATGTGAACAGTCTTGATAAATATACAAGAAATCATTTCTTAATGTAATGGAAAATTTTTTAAACAGATCATAAACTTGAGGTTAAATGTGAAACTACATCAAGAACAGGCCATATGTAGGAAAGGTTATTTGGATCTTCCACTATGTGTTAATTGATTTTAGCAAAGCATTTGATACAATTTCTCATGCAATATTATGAAATAAACTCATTGAAAATAGAATAAAAGGAAAGCTCTTTAATGTGATAGTATATACAAATATTAAAACTAAATAATATGCAATAAATCAAGAAGGGTTAACAGTTTTTTAAAGGTGAAGTAGGTATAAGGCAAGGAAACGATTTAATGGTACTTTCTTAATAATAAGTAGGCAAACTATGAGTTATAAGCATAATGAAGCGATTTATTTGTGATGGAACATAACTGAAGGACACAGAACAATGTTCAGTTGAAACATGAAGTATGTTCCACCATAAATAAATCATTGTTTGCCTGCATATTATTATATTAGTATAATATGCTTCCTTACTCAAGTCCTTTATAATTTATGACTTATAGGGATGATTCAATTACACAAAACCAAAAAAACATTTAGGAATTTTTATCAACAATATTATTGGATGTATGACAAATATGTTGGAAAATTTAAAACAATTAAATTATATAATAATACTGATACTCAGAAATCGTGGTTCACAGAAGAGAAGATATAATGAAAGTGGTTTATATTTAATAAGAGTTAGAAGTAGTTTTATTGTATAATATCTTGAGGATTGTTGTGACCAATAAACTGTCCCATTCCACCATGAGTGATTATTTAAAAAAGTAAGCTGAGAAAGAATTATGGTAAGAAAATACCATTTGTACCAAAAGTACAATTTGACATATCTAATGAAATGGTTACTCCAATCTCAATTTACTCGGCAAAAATGAGGGCACTTATTGTCCATATACAGAGAAAAAATACAAAATATATTTTGTATGTATTTCCTAGATGTTTCAAAAAGTGCTAGAAATATAGCAGTAGTACAAATGTGGAAGGCTACCCTAAACTGTCAACTATAAGACAAGGTGTACTAACACCAGGGGGCCATGCAGAATAAGCTAACTCAATTACATAGAACAACAGCACGTACATATGGTTAATTAAACCTTGAGAAACCAATTACAGCATACTGAATATCACAGACATACACAAACACTTGTGCACGTGTGTATATACATATATATATTTATACACAGAACAGAGTATACTTTCACAGGTGATAAGTAAAGAGTCTCCAATTACAAAAAAATAAAACTGGTTTTTACATATAAATATATACATACATATTCACAAACACACATATATATATATGTATTACACAAATATGAGAGAATAACTAAGATAAAGATTCAATTGTACAAACCTAAAACTGTCCTTTTACATCAAAAATAGTTTCTACATGTGCAGTAAATATTTTACTTTGCCCTTAACACAGCTGAAGTTAATACATAATGCTCTCTATAAAAATTTAATATTATTTTAAATATTAAAAGTAAATTCAGCATTAAATAATGAAAGAAATAGAGGTTTATATAATAATAAATTTTGTTTATTTTCACAAATTAAGAATGGAAATTGCATAAAAACAAGGTCCACTGCACCTTTGTTTTAAACATTTAATAATGTGTTTACTTACTGGTATAGGAGCAGGATTCTTACATTTGATTTATGAAACTTAAGACATTTACTACAATTTACTGTTTGTCCAACATAACGTTTTCTTTACAAAAGACACAGCTCAGGGCATGAATAACATTTTTAGAGTTAAGAGATATAAAAATAATTATATGAAAATTTCTCCCCCATTAGGTCCGAGTACCCACTTCTCGTTGTCATTATACCCATACTATTTATTCTCTCACAAAAAACAAATACCCAACTTATGTTTTTAAACAAAATTTACTCATATCAACTTATAAGCATTTTTAGGTCACCTATTACAGCAAGTATTTTACCACTTCAAAAAAACACTTTCAACTTGCTTCCAATAATTTTTGTCACAAAACAAATGATCTCTAACACTAGTTTTTTTTTACTTCTTAAAGATTGTTGATAAACTTTAGATTTAGCAATACCAAACTCTCTATATATAATTTGCAGGGGATAATGCGATTCAGGTAAAACATTTTTAATTAATATAGCATATCGTCTAAAAACACCAGAGTTTGTTTGTTTTGAATTTCAAGCAAAGCTACAAGAAGGCTATCTGCGCTAGCCGTCCCACATTTAGCAGTGTTAAGACTAGAGGGAAGGCAGATTGTCAT